ATGAAGAGAAGGAGAGGATGAAGAGAAGGAGAGGATGAGAGGATGAAGAGGAGAGGATGAAGAGGAGAGGATGAAGAGGATGAGAGGATGAGGAGGAGGAGAGGATGAAGAGGAGGAGAGGATGAAGAGAAGGAGAGGATGAAGAGAAGGAGAGGATGAGGAGGATGAGAGGATGAAGAGGAGGAGAGGATGAAGAGGAGGAGGGATGAAGAAAAGGAGAGGATGAAGAGGAGGAGAGGATGAAGAGAAGGAGAGGATGAGGAGGATGAGAGGATGAAGAGGAGGAGAGGATGAAGAGAAGGAGAGGATGAGGAGGAGGAGAGGATGAAGAGGAGGAGAGGATGAAGAGGAGAGGATGAAGAGGATGAGAGGATGAGGAGGAGGAGAAGATGAAGAGAAGGAGAGGATGAGGAGGATGAGAGGATGAAGAGGAGAGGATGAAGAGAAGGAGAGGATGAAGAGAAGGAGAGGATGAAGAGGAGGAGAGGATGAAGAGAAGGAGAGGATGAGGAGGATGAGAGGATGAGAGGATGAAGAGGAGGAGAGGAAGTTTGAAAGATGGAACAAAGACAGGCTGTTTAATGGCTGATAAAAGGATTTTTCTGATTGACATTCATGTTGAGCTCAGAAAGTCGATCGTTCCAAACTTTGATCATCTGGGAGAATTTGAGCGTGATTTAATTTTAGTTTGTTTCCTCTGGAGGATTTGGACTCTTCATGCTTTCCTGTGTTTCTGGTTTGATCTGTTTAGTGACAGAATCTGACCAAGACGTTTTATCACAGATCAGATGTTTTTTTTAATGACATGCATGTTGAGCTCGGCGGCGACGGAAACGTTGGGCTCATTTCATCCGGGTTTCACGCTGGCGCCTCCACTAGCTGCACTTGGTTGCACATGAGTTGTGTTTTTCGTTGTTGTTGCACATGTTTTATTGAGCAGCGCTGCTTCGGCGCGTCGCTGCAGAACCGAGGTTTGTTTGTTCAGAACCGCGGCTCGGTGGCGCCGGCCGCCGCTAATGGACCGAGCGGCACCAGAGGCGCTGATGTCATCATCGCCCATCAACGCTCGACTTCAGTGGAGAAGCTTCTGGATTCATCCTCATGTTACTAACACTGTAAAAGCTCAACTACTGCAAATAAGGATTATTGTAGTAACGATTAATCGATTATTCTGGTGATTAATCAGATTAAATATTGGCCCATGTTTCCATATTTTTTAAATAAACCTTTTTGTGGATAATTAGAAATACATTAAAAATGCAAATAAACATAATTCATGATTTCTAAAATGGAAATAAGAATATTTTTGCCTACAAGTCGATAACAGTTTGTTCATTTGTAGCAAACAATGTTTCTGCTGATTAAAATCCTTCTGACATCAACATGAGAAAAGTTCAGTCCAGTCCTGCTGGACTGAACTTCAGTACAGATTAGGACTGATCTGCGGATTATTTTCTGATTAACGGATTAATAATTGGATGCGAAAAGATGCTTTACGAGTTTTTTTTCTGGATTTGAACAAGATGAAGCTGAAACTCATTGGTTAAAAATCCTTTACAGGCAAAGATTGTTTTATATATTTTCATGCAGTGTTTGTTTTTGTGCAGTTTGTTCTTCATTACTGCTCTGAACATGTTGCTCCCTCAGCAGTTCTTAAGCTCATATCAATCACTAAATTAATTGCTGATTATTTCAATAATTGATTAATCAGATTGATCGTTTCAGCCGTGTTCTGGTTGTTGCTCTGGTTTCATCCTCTCGTGTTGCTCCTGTGCTGATTTAAATGTTTGTTGCTTTAACTGTGAAACAAACGGTTTCCTCCAGTGAGAATCTTCATGTCTCTGTTGTTTGCAGACGCGTGCGTCTGCTGGGTTTGGGTTTGTTTCCTGGTTTGTGTCTGATCGGGGGAGTAGAAGCCGACAGGATGGAGTGTTTCTCCTGTAACTCTGGGCAGAATAAAATAAACATGAGTCGACTTGCAGGCGCGTTATCCCGGTAATTTAGCAGCGCTCTGCGCCGTCGCTCCCCGCTGAACTTTTCAATTGGCTGTTTGTTCCCGGTGAACGTGAAGCGCCTTTTCTGCCCGGCGGTGCTTTCACTGTCGAGCAAACCGACAGCAGGAAGAACCGGGCCCGGTTCTGAACATTTGACCCATTTAGGGGGAGAAATTTGCCGGTAGAACGAAGCGTAGGTCGGATCTCCCTGGAGAAAATGGCAGTGAAGGAAGCCCCCAAGGGACAAACACGTCTGGGACGAGGAGCAGCAGCACCACACGCCGCCGAGTCGGAGCTTTTTATTGGGACGTTTTAAAACTAAACGACTGATGGAAACAAATTAACAATCCATCAATTATTGAAAAAATGATTTTAGAAGATGTTTATAGTTAAATGTTTTTTATGCAGTGGCAGGTCTCCATAATTTGACCTTTAACCTCAGTTGGACAGGAATCAGATCAAATCGACCATCATTTAAACCAGGGCTGAAATGATTAATTGTGATTAATCAGTTATTGAAAAATGTCCAGTTGGTGAAAGAACAGAGTAATAAAGCAGAACCTGCAGAAAAGGACAAACATTTTATTTATATTTCATAAATAAAATGTTGTTTTATTTATGAAATATAAATAAAATGTTCTTCACCTGTAAATCTAGCAGAACTTCTCTTGTGGCAGATTTATCTTCATCTGGTTCTGTAAAAATCTCCTATTGATCAGCTTTTGTTAATCATTTAATCAATAATAAAGAGGTTTCCTCATGTTGATGTCGGGACATTTTTAGCTGCAGATTCTAGAAATGATCAAACCTTCATTTCCAGCTGTTACTCACTTTTACACAGTAACACGTTTATTTGCATGATTTAATGTATTTCTAGTATTGTATAAAAGGCCTGGTGGTCAAATGAAATTTCTGCAGAATGACGTGTTTTTATACGCCAATAAATGTCTGATTAACTGATACATTAATTGATTACTGATCGTGTGCAGGACAGAACCTCAGATGGAAAAATAATTGACGCAGCAGGAATTTCACGGAGAACTCGCTGTTCCTCCAGAATCTGATCAGTTCTGATTCTTGTTTTAAATATTCCCAGATTTTCTCATCTTTGGTTTCAGGTTTGTGTTTCTTGTCCCTCTGCAGCCCTGAGGGACGCCTGCATGCAGCTGCTGGCTTTCTGGCCCACTTAGCTGTTATTTCAGACCAGATGTTTGCTTTTTCTCACATCGCCCAGAACAGCTGTGTGGATCCATCCCTCCTCCGTTCCTCGCCTGCCGTTTTCTGCTCCTGTTTGTTTCTCATCACCTGGAGCATTTAGCCGACTCCATTAATCGCCTGCATGGAAACAGGAGGGGAAGCAGCGGCTGCCAGTTTGCACCGTTTTTATTTCTGTTGCTCTGTTTGGATGACGATGCGTTTCATTCCTTGTTTGTGTTTGAGCTGATGTTATGTGTGTGTGTTCCACCCGATCCTCCACCCGATCCTCCACCCGATCCTCCACCCGATCCTCCACCTGAACCTCCACCCGATCCTCCACCCGATCCTCCACCCGATCCTCCACCCGATCCTCCACCCGATCCTCCACCCGATCCTCCACCTGAACCTCCACCCGATCCTCCACCTGAACCTCCACCTGAACCTCCACCCGATCCTCCACCCGATCCTCCACCCGATCCTCCACCCGATCCTCCACCCGATCCTCCACCTGAACCTCCACCTGAACCTCCACCCGATCCTCCACCCGATCCTCCACCCGATCCTCCACCCGATCCTCCACCTGAACCTCCACCTGAACCTCCACCCGATCCTCCACCCGATCCTCCACCTGAACCTCCACCCGATCCTCCACCCGATCCTCCACCTGAACCTCCACCCGATCCTCCACCTGAACCTCCACCTGAACCTCCACCCGATCCTCCACCCGATCCTCCACCTGATCCTCCACCTGAGCCTCCACCCGATCCTCCACCAGATCCTCCACCTGAGCCTCCACCCCATCCTCTGGGTGTGTCTTTGTGTGGAGGCGCTAAAGTCACGCCGTTAATGTGCTTGTGCTGTGGAGGCAGACGATCCATCTTCCACCCACTTACAAGCGCAGCTTCCCCAAACTCGGCCGTTATTTACGGAGGGAAGTAGATTAGTCGATGCTTCTGGCTGCCGTGTCACGACTTCAGTCTGTTATCAAGCAAAGAAGCAATAAACTCCATCTGAGCAGAAAGTTTGAGCAAACAAGCGGCGGAGGAGGGAAGATGGTAGATGGTAGCGGCGCTGAGCAGCAGCTACGGCCAGCAGCCTGTCTCAGCCTGAGAACTTTAATCTCAGCCTGAGAACTTTAATCTCAGCCTGAGAACTTTAATCTCAGCCTGAGAACTTTAATCTCAGCCTGAGAACTTTAATCTCAGCCTGAGAACTTTAATCTCAGCCTGAGAACTTTAATCTCAGCCTGAGAACTTTAATCTCAGCCTGAGAACTTTAATCTGTCTGTGCAGCAGCAGAGAAAATGCAGTTATAATTTGCAGCTGTTTGTTTGTTTGCTGATTGTTTAAATATTAATAGATCAATCAACTGAAGACAATAACAGAAGGCAAAACTCACTTTATGAGCAGAGGAATTCATGTCTGCTGGAATATTTTTATATTTTGTTTTTAGAGCATTATTACGATATGTAGCCACTAGCATGCAGATTTAGCTGTCTGACCTAAGAGTGAGCAGCGCTGCGCCCTATGCTGATTAACTGCAGAATCCACACTTTCAGAATGTCAATAATTCATTTATTAAACATTATTTCTTTTGGCATGATAATGAAGAAAAACTGTAATAAGAGACTGTTTTCATTTCAGGCTGTAAATATTAAGATGCTGTTATTGTGGGTTTGTTTGCTAAACGGTTTCAGTTTTTCAACCTGGAAAAGATTTTAGAAAAACTGAATCAGAGATCAGTTTCTGGCAGCCGTGCTGGGTTCAGAGGAAGCTAACCCGTCTCCGTCTGTCTGTCTCCGTCCTGCAGGTCTGTCCGTCCTGCGCTCCAGCGAAGAGCAGCTCCCCCCGCTGCAGAGCAAATGCATCGGGGACATCGAGGAGCTCGCCGCCAGCTACGAGCGAAAGCTCATAGAGGTCAGTGTGAGCTCTGCTTCCATCCTGACATCGGCTCAGACTGAACTTCAACCGTTTAACGTCGCCTTAGAAATGGCTGATTGTTTTAGAGAATACGTTTTTTCAACTTTGTCCGTTTCTTCAGAATTTGGGCGTCACCTTTAAACGTCTGACCTTCTCACACATCCGTCCGTCCTAGCTTCTCAGTCCAGAGTGTTTATTACGCATCTTTAGAAAGTCTTAAATTCATTTCAGAAAGTCTTAAATTCAATTTTTTTTTTTTTTTTTTTTTTTTTTTTTTTTTTTTGAAAGTCTTAAATTCATTTGAGAAAGTCTTAAAATCATTTTAACTGCAGGTCTGGACTGTGGTTGATGTTGGACTGTTTATATGGAGTGTTTTTTCTGGTGGGATTTTTCTTTAAGGCAAAAGTTTGAGTCAGATGGAAACATCTTTATGTTCTGTGAATGTACCGCTAACTAGCTGCTAGCGGCTAAAAACCTAACTAGCTAGCTGCTAATAAACTCTGGCTGCCTAGTTAGCTAAAAACACATTGGTGGCAGCGGTTCTGAATCCTGGACTTTGTCCTCAAGCTGCTCAGTAACTGTCCATGTTGCCGTAGATGTTTTTTCTGCCTAGTAGTAAAACACCCTCACAGCATGATGCTGCCACCACCGTGCTTCACAGCTTCCACCGTGTTCTCTTAACCTTCCTGCTGTAACTGGGAGTGATGGAGATCCTGTCCAAACCTCTGTTCCTGACTGGGTTTATGAACCGTTTCTGTTTTGCTTCTGGATCGATGGATTCTTCCGTCTGAGTGGCATTTCAGCCCATGTTGGAACCGGACTGGTTTTACTGGCTGCTTGGTTTTTTAAAACTTCCCAGGGGGACAACAGATAAATCTTAAAAGTTTTAGGAGTTAATCTGAATAAAGTTCTTCTATTGCATTAAGTTATTAATAGTTTCATTAATAACTTAATGAAACTATTAAGTTATTAACAGCAGGAGTTTGCAAACTCCTGCTGTTTGGTTTCATAGAGATGAATGCTTATGAACTCTTCCTGCTGCCTGCAGAGGAATAAACCAGAGAAAATATTTGTCCCAGATGTTTTTTTAAACCATAAGCACATAAACCTGCATCTAACTGGGAGTTTGTTCTTCGTTCTGGAGTCATTCTGTTTGTTTAGCTGATCTTCCGTCTGCAGTTCGCTCTTTGGGTCGTCTGTCGGCGCCAGAACCGGATATTTCTGTAGGATGAAGGCAGCCTGTCAGGTTTGGTTCCAGCTTCATGCTGAGACGTTTTCACACCCAACGATAACTTTATTCAGCTTACACATAGAAGAAAATCCTGGATTCCTGCTGGCTCCGACCGGACCGGGCCATCTGGACCGGTGCACACCTGGTGCACAGTGACACCGGCCCGGTTCCCTCCGGTCCGGTCAGTCCAGACTTGCTGGTCAGTTGTTGTGAGTTTGATTCATGAATAATTAAATTGTAATTTTTATTTTTTAATAAAAACTCGTCTCCATTTTGCTTCACTTATGCAGCTGCTGCATTTTTCATGCTGTTTACTAATTTATCTCTTCATTTGCTGTTGGGACGAAGGCCTGGCGGGAACCGGGTCGGACCGGATCCGCTGCGGGAACCGGGTCGGACCGGATCCGCTGCGGGAACCGGGTCGGACCGGATCCGCTGGGGGAACCGGGTCGGACCGGATCCGCTGCGGGAACCGGGTCGGACCGGATCCGCTGGGGGAACCGGGTCGGACCGGATCCGCTGCGGGAACCGGGTCGGACCGGATCCGCTGCGGGAACCGGGTCGGACCGGTTCCGGTGGGGGAACCGGGTCGGACCGGATCCGCTGCGGGAACCGGGTCGGACCGGTTCCGCTGGGGGAACCGGGTCGGACCGGTTCCGCTGGGGGAACCGGGTCGGACCGGATCCGCTGCGGGAACCGGGTCGGACCGGATCCGCTGCGGGAACCGGGTCGGACCGGATCCGCTGGGGGAACCGGGTCGGACCGGATCCGCTGCGGGAACCGGGTCGGACCGGATCCGCTGCGGGAACCGGGTCGGACCGGTTCCGCTGGGGGAACCGGGTCGGACCGGATCCGCTGCGGGAACCGGGTCGGACCGGATCCGCTGCGGGAACCGGGTGGACCGGTTCCGGTGGGGGAACCGGGTCGGACCGGATCCGCTGCGGGAACCGGGTTGGACCGGTTCCGCTGGGGGAACCGGGTCGGACCGGATCCGCTGCGGGAACCGGGTCGGACCGGATCCGTCCCGCCTCACTCTCTGAATCTGAGCGACCCGGTTATTGATTTCCCAAAATGTCACATCAAGCCTCGTTAGAAACATTCCTTCCTGGGAGAGACAAATAAATATTGACGTGGCGGCCCGGTCCGCTGAGGTTTTAATGTGATGCTGCTGATCCGTTATATTGACTCTGAATGTGTTTACATTTGAGCCGAATCTCCAGGCGTCCTCTGATCTTTACCTGCTGCGTTTCCATCCATCTTTGTTCAGACGGATCAAAAGTCCAACAGAAAGCTGATTTTCCTTCCAGCGGTTGGATCCTCAGGATCTCTGCTACCAAACATCTGGATCTAAACCCGGCGGATCGCAATGCTCCTCGTCTCTCATGAGCCTCAAGGTTTTAATCAGATACCTAAACATTTTGCAGTGTCTTTTCAAATAAAGCCGAAACATCCTGTCCGAAATCCCAGCTGAACCTGATCAGCTCTGGTTACGCCCTGACTTACTTCGCTGCCTGAAATAAAGCAGAGATAAAAACACTGGCCGTAAGTCACAGACACGTCGGCTGAGATCTGAGAGAAAAAGCTCCGATTGGTGACGTTGGTCTGAGAGTGATGTCATATCGTCTTATCGCGGCCCGCAGGTTGCTTGTGTCGCTCTGAAAGTTATCCGCTCCTGAGCAGAGACACTGGGCTCCATCGCTCCGCTCGCCGTTAATTACTTTTTGGGGCGGAGCGGGAACTGGAGGCCAGGAGAGGAGAGCGTTCCTGATACATACAGGGACAAAATGGGGCGATTCCTCAGGAAACACCTTTTATTCAGTCATAAAAATGTTCACCGAACGCCTCACTGTTTCAAACTAAAGATCCATGATGCTGTGGGCCTGTTTTTCTCCATCGTTATTGGATAAAATTCAGCAAAAGGTCTGTCATTAACCCCGCCCCGGTCATTAGCCCCGCCCCCGGGCCGGTCATTAGCCCCGCCCCCGGGCCGGTCATTAGCCCCGCCCCCGGGCCGGTCATTAGCCCCGCCCCCGGGCCGGTCATTAGCCCCGCCCCCGGGCCGGTCATTAGCCCCGCCCCCGGGCCGGTCATTAGCCCCGCCCCCGGGCCAACTCTTACCTGTTATGCTGGTGGAAACGTGAAGTTTTCTGGTGACCAAATAATAAACCATATTGTTCTAAATTAGATTATTTACAGCTATTGACGAAGTGATTCAGATCCAACAGTTTAACGGTGGGATTCTCCAAAGTAAAAGCCCTCAGCAGAACCGGCTCTGGGCGGTTTTCATTAGATGTTCTCATACTGGGAAAGTTTCCTGCTGCTGGATAGAAGAGGGAATGTGGGTCAGATCCTCCCCAGTAATCAGAGATTTTCTTTTTCCAACAACTTATTAATCAACAATAAGCAACATGAAGAGCACAAACCAAACATCTGCAGACTGTAGTAACTACAAAACTACCAGCTGGTGAATCTGATGCTCTGAAAGTAAAATAATTCATAAATCATGTGATCCGTTTCATCTGAACGCTTCCTTTAGCATCGTGAAGCTTCATGTTTTTAACCCATCAGTGTTTCTGGTGGAAACCTAACAGCCCCCAGTTCCTGCAACTGGTTCCACTGGTTCTGCTGGGAAGCAGATCCTTTAAAGGTCGGATGACTTTAGAGGCGTTTCCTGAAAACGGGTGAAGTGAGACGAACCATGAAGTCCAAATGCAAGATGGCCGCCGTGCTGCTTGCCGTTCGTTTCCCTCCAGTTTGGCGTTTAAAGCACCAAAGTTCAGCCCTGCAACCGAATCAGATGAAGACCTTAACCTTTTAATAATTTGTTAAATTGTTTTAATGCAATAAAAATAAACTAAGGAATGAGTTTAATTTAAATGTCTTCATGACTTCCTGGTAGGAGCCGTGAACCACGGTTGGTTTAAAAGCTAATTAAAAACGTTGCTTGAACAATAATTGAATAACTGCAAAATGATCAATTAAGCTGTTGGTTTAATTTAATATCTCAGTGTGGTGCTAAACCTGTGTGTGTGTGTGTGTGTGTGTGTGTGTGTGTGTGTGTGTGGGGGGTGTCAGAACAGCTCTAACATTAGCAGGAACAGACGGTTCGTTTATCTCTGCCTTCCTTTCCTCCTCACATTATTAGAAGAAAGAAGCAAAGATTAGAAGAGGTTAAAAACATGAATCCTGGTTTTACTGTAGCTGACTGTTTTATGTTGAGTCTGTTTGTCTGTTTTATGTTTTTAAATCACGGCACATGGTTCCACATGGTTCCACTTTAAAAACACCAACTAATTTTAGTAAAAACTTTTCTTCTGTTTTTTTCTCAAACTAAAGTTCCAGTGGGAACCTTTATGTGTGTGTGTTTCTGGTACACCCATAAATCACCTCACTTTGGATCCCTTCTTTACGTGGCTTTGTCCAGGAAAGGGTCAGCCAGACGCTGAGACCCAGACATGACTAAACGATCAGGAGACGGCGCGAAGAAGACGCCCTTGCTGCTGAATCGAATCAGAGCGTGAGTCGCTCAGTCGGTCAAATTGAACAAGCGCGGCGTGACGCTGCCGTCACATCAGCCTCCTCTCACCTTTAATTGGTTTCCTTCACGCCTCAAATTCATTTGCTCTCCTGTAATTTGCTACCTGAGTTTAGCAGCAGCTGAATAAATAAAGGTGAAACACGTCCTGCTGTCCTGACAGGAAGCGTCGCGTAGTGTCCTCAAACATTTACACACACACACACACACACACACACACACACACACACACACACACACACACACACACACACACACACACACACCCCCGACACACACACACACACACACCAGACACACACACACACACACACCCAGACACACACACACCCAGACACACACACACACACACACACACACACCCCGACACACACACACACACACACACACCCAGACACACACACACACCCAGACACACACACACACCCAGACACACACACACAGGTTTGGCGTCATTGTTTCCGGCCGAGGTGGCTCCATGTTTTATGTTCTGAGATTACTGTGAGCTTTGCAGCTCCATCTGAGCCTCAGATTTGTAACGTTTCTGTTTCTCAGACACTTTTATGTCTTTGGGTTTTACTGTTTAAATAAAACATGGCATGACAGAGGATCAGCTGAGTCCAAACGGTCCCAGCTGAGCCCAGTTCTGATGCCTCAAAGCCTCCTGCTTTTCCCTCCGTGGTGCAGAACAGGTTCTGTTCAGTCAGACTCCTGGTTCGTCCTGTTGCTGCGTCTCCATTAGAAAACGTTTTCAATATTCCACTAATGTAGAGAAACCGCGACTCAGCGTTAAATAAGTCATGCAGTTAAAATCACACATGCCACACCCTCCACTTCCCGTCCTTTTCATGTTGCACAATGATATGAAATTTATATTTCCATATAATGAATTTTGAGGTAACGTTTAAACATTTTGAGGTAACGTTGAAATGTTTGAATCTGGTGTTTCCATCTGCAGCCAGGTGGCACTGATTCCACCAGTTACTAACATTATGGCTGCAATGAACAGGAAGTAGCAAAATGTCTTTTATTCAGAAAATAAATGAAAACATTCTTCCACAGTTCACCTTTTGTTTCAGAACAGGGAGGTAAATTATCAATCTATAATTTATCAGGAGAAATTGATCTAGGGTAAGCTAACGGTTTTTGATGTTAGCTGAAGCGCTAAGCTAACAACAAGGTATTAGCGCATTAGCAGAAATGTGTCTCATGCAGATTTTTGGGAAAATATTCTGGTAGCGAACGGTTGAAATAAATCCAGATTATTGTGACGATCAGCCGGTTGCGAAACAGTTTGCAGTGAAACATTGAGATTATTCTGCCTGAAGCCGCCGCCGCCTCACAGATCCGTCTGTTCGCTCTGAGGCCTGAAAGGTCAACGTTTCATTTCTGAAATAAGCGGGACGTTTGTTATCTGTGACGCTGCAGCACCTGCTGCAGCACCTGCTGCAGCACCTGCTGCAGCACCTGCTGCAGCACCTGCTGCAGGCTCTGGGTTTCAGACGTGCTGCTGCTGGTTTCTGCGGGTCATCACCACGTGACATCACGTCGTTTCTGATCCGTTCCTCCGGTTCTGATCTCCAGCCCAAACAAAGCCCAGATTTGTCTTCCTCCAGAAGCAGAACGAATCTGCTGTACAGCTGCTCCTTTTGTGATGTTGTTGCCATGGCAACTGTGATTTTTATTTTGTTCACGGCGCTTCGCTGAGTCACCTCTAGAGGGCGTCATGCTTTGACAGAGTCTGGCTCCTGGCACAGGCAGCGACCCAGTTTCAGTTTCACCCACTGGAAACCAGTTTACCCTGATTCACCCAGTCTGAGCAAACTGGGAGCATCACAGTCCCAGTCTGAGCAAACTGGGAGCATCACAGTCCCAGTCTGAGCAAACTGGGAGCATCACAGTCCCAGTCTGAGCAAACTGGGAGCATCACAGTCCCAGTCTGAGCAAACTGGGAGCATCACAGTCCCAGTCTAAGCAAACTGGGAGCATCACAGTCCCAGTCTGAGCGAACTGGGATATGGGTGTATGAAGTCCACATAAAAATCTGAAAAGTGTGGCATGGATTTGTGTTCAGTTCCCTTTTACTCTGGTTTACCTGAATAAAATCTTGGGCAACAATCTGCCTCCAGGAGTTACTATGGGATGCTTTGGACCGGGGGTGTTCAAAGAGGGGGTCGGGGGCCGTCTATAGACCCTGAGCTGCTTGTTTTACTTTTGAATTTGTCCACAATTCAAAAGTAAATTAGAACAAAACTGCGATGTTTGATGAACACAAAGTGACGTCTTCTCTAAGCGTCCATGGTAACTAACCATCTGTTCATTATCTCAAAAATCCACCTCAGTTTTTAGATGGTGTATTAAAACTGAGCACAGGAAACGACTTAAAGCAAAGATTAACCCACATCCTGTTTTTATCGCTCGGAAGACAAAATATTGATGAATTGATTCAAAACAACAAAACATTTTTTATTTTAGTTTGTAAAAATTTCATTTTTTTACCTTGTTCTTTGGAGCTGATGATTTTGACTCACTCAATATAAAGGTTAGATCAAAGCAGGTTAGACAGGCCTAGTCAAAGTCCAAGCCTGGATCCAAATGAAAACCTGAGCTTCAGCAAATGTGCAAAACTGGTGGAAACAAATCAGAGGGTTGAAAATAAAAATTTCAGTTTTGTGATTTCACATAAAATCAGAATCTGATGTTCCACATTCTCAGAACAACCAGCCGACCCGTCAGGCGGCTCCAAACGGAGGTCAGGGCAACTGGGTGGCTGTTGCTGTTGGTTACGACCCGGGTCAGCTGTCAGTCGGTGACAAGTCTCCGTGGAAACGGTGCTGACAGCAGGTGTTCTCCACACAGCGCAGAGTCACACACACACACACACACACACACACACACTCACACACACACACACACACTCACACACACACACACACATGCACACACACACACACTCACACACACACACACATGCACACACACACACACAGTCACACACACACACACACACACACACACTCACACACACACACACACATGCACACACACACACACAGACACACACACACACACACACATGCACACACACACACACACACACACACACAGACACACACATGCACACACACACATGCACACACACACACACACACACACACATGCACACACACACATGCACACACACACACGCACACACACACACACATGCACACACACACAGTCACACTCACACACACACACAGTCACACACACACACACAGACACACACACACATGTACACACACACACAGACACATGCACACACACACACAGACACACATGCACACACACACATGTACACACACACACATGCACGCACACAGACACACACACAGACAGAGACACACACACACACAAAGAGACACACACACACAGATAAAGAGTCACACACACACAGACAAAGAGTCACACACAGACAAAGAGTCACACACACACAGACACACACACACACACACACAGTGTGGTCACACCTTTGGGCCGTCCGACCCGGCTCGGCTGGCCCGGACCGTTCGTTCTGTGATCGGCAGGAACGTCGCGATCTTTCAAAATGAAAGTTGTGTGCTGTGTGTGCTGCAGGTGGCAGAGATGCACGGCGAGCTGATCGAGTTTAACGAGCGCCTGTACCGCTCGCTCATGGCCAAGGACCACCTGATCGTCCAGATGAGGCAGGAGCTGATCGACCTCAGAGGGCCGGTGAGTGGCTGCAGCGCCTGCCTGATGCCTCATGAAGCATCAGAAGGTTTAGTCATTATAAAGCAGATCAACTCGCATGGGGAAAACCCTCCAGATTTATGGGAAGCTTCTCCTCTAGAAGTTATTATAACGGCTTCCTGAGATTCACAAACTGAAAGCTAGAGCACTCATCAGAAATATTAGCTCTGCTGATGCTAAAGCGCTTCACCGACATGTGCAGCATAGGCTATTGCTAAATGCTACATGCACATGGTAATTAGCTGAAGCTAATGCTGAAGCGCTAAACATAAGCATTAGTTCTGCTAATACTAAAGTGCTAGATTATCATGGTAATTAGAGGATGCTAATGCTAAATTCTTCCAGGTGAGAAACTCAAAACGATTCATGTATTCATTTTACACACCTGTTGCACCTGAATTTCTGCTGATGCAGGAAAATAAAAGCTGTTTTTATTCTGTCATCTCATATGAAGAAGAAAACCAATATTGTCATTTCAAGTAAACAACTTTGTCTCAGTCCCTTCAGCTTTGTTCACAGAACAGAAAACAGAAAGTCTGGATGCGCTGACCGCCACAGCGATCTGCCGCCGCCTCAGGCTGAACGCCGCCTCTTATCCCTCAGCCTCAGCCGGCTCTGCTGGACCGCGCGCCGTCCGCTGCTCTGTGCTTCCTCGGCTCGCCCTCAGGGGGCGTCTGCTGTTTACGAGCGTTGGGCTAGAAAGTGGTTCAGATCTTCTCGTTGAGGCGCCAAGAAGCCTTCAAAGGAAAGACAGAAAGGGAAGGAAACTTAATTTAATTTTAAGTTTCCATCCCATTCTGAGCAGAAATCGTTCATCTCTTGGATACTTTGATCCAACCGTCGCGTTTCAGGCCTGATGTAAAGGAACTTATTTAGACCATTTCGACTTTTGAGAGTTTGTCAAACTTTGATAACTCGGCTCATCTCATGATGGAGCAGGAGATCGATCGGCCATGTTTGTCCTGAGACCGTAGCTAACAGCCGGCTAGCTTGCACATGCAGAACAATCTGCAGGAAAGTGGCTGTGATCAGAGAAGATGAAGGAAAAACAGATAATCACAACAACTGGGCTGACTAAAAATACTGAGTTTTCAGCCCTGATGGACAGACTGATGTAAGAGTCCGGCGGCGCCACGGCGGCTCTCATTAGCATTAATGGAGGTGTGTGTTTCTGACACCTGTCAAACGGCGCTGGTGGGCTCGATTGGTGATTCGGGAACAAAAGGGCATTTTTACAAAAGATCTGGTTTTATTTTAGAGAAGCTTCTGCTCCAGTCAGCTAACAGGGCAAAGCTAACGAAACAAAGTTAACAAGGAAAAGCTAACGAAACAAAGCTAAGAGGGCAAAGCTAACGAAACAAAGCTAACAGGGCAAAGCTAACAAAACATAGCTAACGAAGCAAAGCTAACAGGGCAAAGCTAACAGAACAAAGTTAATGGAAGAAAGCTAAAGATTGTAAAAACTGTAAATGTTCATAGACTGTAAATCCAGTTGGTGCGTCTCCAACATCCCTTCTCTTCCAGTTTCTCTTCAAATAAAACCTGGGCAGAAACATTTTCACATCTAGTGATCATTTTTGCTCAGGTTCTGATGATCCGTGTCTCATTTTTCCAGGTCCCAGGAGATTTAAGCCAGACGTCAGATGATCCAGCCTGTCGGATTTTGAGACGTAAGGACGGCTCTTTAATTTTAATTTAGTGGGGGGTTCAGGACTTTTCTGTCAGGTAAAACTTTGATTCACACGGAAACATATTCACTGTATCCTTACTCGAGGTGGTTGAGGCTACCGCTAACTAGCAGCTAATATACCCTTGCTTACTAGCTAGCTATGTTTGCCTCCATTATGGTCACAAAGTCAGGTTCACAGTTTTTGCAATGCTCGATTGTTAGACACCAAAATCCACCCAAATCCCCTCTATATTTATATTCTTTCTGTCTTAGATGTCACTCATGCTGGCATTAAAAAGGTCTTAAAAATTAAAAAGTTTCTGAAACCTATAGATTCCCTGAACATGGATTAAGGTAAATGAAACCGCCTCTCACCTTTTAGCAGAACCTCTGTGTCCTGTCCCTTCAAATCTACCATCTACATCTAAACTCGGCTTGTCTGCTAACCGGATGCAGACGTTGCGCTGCTACTGCCTGTGATGATGCTAACGAGGACGCTAATGTTGGTGTCCCTCAGGGCTCATCGGGCTCTCGTCAACGTGTGGATCCCCTCCGTGTTCCTGCAGGGCAGAGCTGCCAACGCCTACCACGTCTACCAAGTACGTTACTCTCCACTGAGCAGAGGACAAAACCATCATCTGGTTCTTAATGTTCCTTAGGAGTTATGAGGAGAGGAATGTAGGATGAGAAGTTCATTAAGGCAAACAGCGAGGGGCTGACCGAAGGAGTTCAACATTAGCATGAAAAGCTCATCGTGTTCATTAGCTGTGTTGGTCTCGGCTCTCCTTCTGCTCCGGGTGTCAAACATTTACTCTGTTTATCTGCCGCTTGTTTAATCTGCTTCAGTAGCTTCATATGGTTCAGGCTTTTACTCCAGATCCAGGATCAGGGCTTCTGTGTCACATTTCAATAAACTTGTGATTCAAAACTAAAGGATGATGCAGGATATAAAGTTGTGCTGATGAAGGGTATCTCTGTAGCTCTGTAGCTCCGCCCTCCTGCTCTCCTATCAGTCACACATCCCACAAGATCTGCACCTGACTCTGCAGTCATCAGTCTGTGGTCATAATGCTTTGCCTGATCAGGGTAGCTAGTGCTACTGCTGCCGTCATGTTTACCCAACATCTGAGGAAACAACAGCAGAAGAACCAGGAACCCAGAGAGTCCAGAGAGGCTTGTCCCTGGAACCTGTTCCTGAAGAGGATGAAGGTCGACATGATGATGATGCTCTGCCCCTCGTCTTCATCGTGACCCGCTGACCTCTCCGGTTCCTCACACTGAATCCTGGTGGTTTGTTTTGTGACCTGACAGTCTGGCGGGTCAGATGATAAACACTACGACAGCACAGGTGCTAAACTTTGTGAGATGCTCCACTCAGACTGAGATTCGCTGACTGGACAGCAGGAAGCTGAAGGAGCCGAGATCCTGCTGCTTTCATCTGACAGGCAGCGGAGCGAAGAGACACCTGAGGCCCCTTACCTGGACGACTGCTTCACCGGCTCTGTCACATTAACAAGGTGTTCCACCTCATCTCTGTCAGCTCTCACACACACACACACACACACACACACGCACATGTGCGCCTGGTCCAACCTCCAGAGACAGACCTTCACAACCTTTAGACTCTCACAATGTGTCATACATGTGCAAACACACAGGAGTTCGGTTGATACAAATATGACGTTTGTTGCACATACACATCCTTCACGATGTTTCACACACACACACGCACACACACACAACACACACACACAGAGGCATGGCACTGATATGCAGAGTGAAGACAGCAGCACATCGTCTCTAGTCGCTGATGGTCAGGCTGGCAACGAGGCTCAGCTCCACTTATGCATAATAGATGCAAATTCAGAGAGGGCCTCGGATCGGAGCGCCGCGAAGCCTTTCTGGGTGAAAACATCTCCTTCCTCCTGACAGCACCGCAGCAGAAAATGAGATGGATTGTTCTAATTCCAGCGTTTTGCAGCGTCTTGGTGGCTCTGTTAGGGAACGGCACAGATTTCATTAAACGTACCGCGGCTTTCACACGGATTCATCTGCACAAACTTTAATGTTTGATGATATGAGACTCGCAGAGCAAAGCTGCACATGAAGCTTTTCTTAGTCTGTAAAATCTGAGAAGTGTGGCATGAATTCACCAAACTTCCACCCTCAGTGGTCTAATTATTATTACTTTTATATTTCAATAACTGCCGTCTGCAAATACCTCACTTTGACAGCAGAGGTTCTGGTTCTGGTCACAGTCCAGACCTAAATCCTGAGAGAATCTTTGGTCAGAGTTGAAAATTAAATCTCCCAGATGCAGGATTTCATCCAGTCTGGACACATAAACCTGTGAAACCGTTGAGGCTTTTATTTTTGCTCTTTGCTCCGTGTTTTGCTGTCGGTGTGTGAAGTGAATCTGCAGGAAGAGGAGCTGCAGCTCATGGTTGTAGCTGGAGTTTTGTTAGGCTGGTGGATGGATTCCAGCCTGATTTCTCCTTCTCAGTAATGATCTCTGAGAGACCGCAGACCAGCCCTGGAGCGCGGATGAAGCGCGGCCCATCTGGTGTGTTGGATGCTTCCCTTCCCAGAGCTATATCCGTCTAATGGCTCCCTGTGGAAACGGCTTTTGTTCTTAGGCAGCTAATGGATGGCCAAGGTTAGCGGAGTCGCCGTTGTTCAGGTGAGGCTGCTGAGGCGATTGAACGTGAAGCCGACTCTCTTAAAGAGCTGAGAGGGTCCTGAGGAGAAAACCTTTCCTCCGGTCCAGGCTCGCCGGCCTGCTCAGCTGCAGCGGTTCTGGGGAAACCTCCGGCAGAGAGGCAAAGTTAGTCTGCAGCTGATCGTTCCATATTTCAGCGACGCTTCGTTTCCTGCCGCGCCTTTTCCCAGGGTACATGGCGACCATAATGGTCAGGGAAAGATTCATGCATTTGCATGAAATCAAACGTAAGTTTTTCATTTTTCCAAGATGCCCACAATGGTTGTCATGGAAAATTAATAAATAAATCATAACCTCCATATTTTGGACCACAGCCATTTTTTCCACCTTGTGTTTCCTATTGTAGTGGACATTTTTCAAAATGGCTGCCATAGATGTAATGGAGAATATTTGTTTGAAGTGAGATCAGCTGTAATTATCGCCAGTGGTTAAGTTAACTAAAACATCAGGTTCACCAGTAACTCTCATCGCTACATCAAGCTAAATTAGTGGAAGCTAGCACTAAACCACTAAATACAGTAGAAACTTAGCAGGAACTAATGAGGAGCCGCTAAAATAATGAAACCTTGAACAGAAGTTAGAGTTGAACCTGTAAACACAAAGACATTGCAGAAGCTAACACCAAACTGCATAAAGAAAAATCAGTGGAAGCAAAAGTCAAGCCTGAAGACACAGAACAGCGGTCTGTCCCTGAATGTCTCCCGTCCTCATCTTTCTGTCCTCTCTGTCTCCATTCGTCTCCCTGCAGCAGACACTCAGGGCCGCCTCACATTCTCTGAAATCACTTCCATCTGAAGTGCAGAAAGGCCCTGGGATGGATGATGGCAGGCAGACAGGGATGGAGAGAGGCTGATGCCTTTTCCCATTAGACGTTAGATTGAGCTTTTTGTGTCCTCTGGGCCACCGTCCCTCCTGCTTCCCTTTCTTTCTGAAGCCGTAATGGCCGCATTAAAGTTAGCGCCTCGCTACCAAAAGGCTCATCTGCAATCTGCTTCACACAGCAACCGACTCGCCTTCATCTCCTCACATCGACGGCAGCAGATTCAGGAGGCAGAGAGATGATGAGGATGATGAGGAGGGGGATGATGATGGGGATGAGGGGCAGGGGGATGATGAGGAGGGGGAGGGGGATGATGATGATGAGGAGGGGGATGATGATGGGGATGAGGGGCAGGGGGATGATGATGATGAGGGGGAGGGGGGGTGATGATGATGAGGGGGAGGGGGGGTGATGATGAGGGGGGAGGGTGATGATGAGGAGGGGGAGGGGGATGATGATGATGAGGGGGAGGGGGGGTGATGATGAGGGGGAGGGGGGAGGGTGATGATGAGGGGGAGGGGGATGAGGGGGAGGGGGATGATGATGAGGGGGAGGGGGGAGGGTGATGATGAGGAGGGGGATGAGGATGATGATGAGGGGGATGATGATGAGGGGAAGGGTGATGATGAGGAGGGGGATGAGGATGATGATGAGGAGGGGGATGATGATGAGGGGGAGGGTGATGATGATGAGGGGGAGGGGGATGATGATGAGGGGGAGGGGGGATGATGAGGGGGAGGGGGATGATGATGAGGGGGATGATGATGATGAGGGGGAGGGTGATGATGATGAGGGGGAGGGGGGATGATGAGGGGGAGGGGGATGATGATGAGGGGGATGAGGATGATGATGAGGGGGGTGATGATGATGAGGGGGAGGGGGATGATGATGATGAGGGGGATGAGGATGATGATGAGGAGGAGGGGAGGGGGATGATGAGGAGGGGGAGGGTGATGATGATGAGGAGGGTGATGATGATGATGAGGGGGAGGGTGATGATGATGAGGAGGGTGATGATGATGATGAGGGTGATGATGATGATGAGGGGGATGATGATGATGAGGGTGATGATGATGATGAGGGGGAGGGTGATGATGATGAGGGGGAGGGGGGATGATGAGGGGGAGGGGGATGATGATGAAGGAACTGGAGTGAAATCAATTTCCAGCTCTGATTATCTGATCATCTGGTTCAGAGTCCTTCGTCTGTTTTTCGGTGTAAAATATTTAGTGAGATCAGATCAACAGTTAAAGTGTCACCTTAGTTGGATTCAGGTCTGGACTTTGACTGGGCCGCTCTACAACATTGGTGCTCGTTGTTTGTTGTCATTGCTTCTTTTTTAGGCTTTCTAGATCATTTTCTGGTTGAGTCGTTGCTGCATTCGGACAGTTGTCCCCTCCTCCTCTATTTCTGGAAACGTTGACAGTTGTGATGCGTAGCCATGGCAACAAGGTCTCATTTCACGACCCGGATCAGCTGATTGACATCTCAAATGATACCTGATTTCTGACCAGGGTGGTTTAAGTTTTTATTGAAAACTTGGTGATTGACAGCACTAAGCCCCTCCTCCTGGCTCTGATTGGATGTTTTTGGAGCATTTCCAGCAGGAAATCGATATTTTCTGTCTTAAACTGTAGAACATGGAGACAGTTTAATAAATGACAAAAACATGTTTGTTTTCAAATAAAAGTTACAAACTGCAGCTTCATGCGAGATTAGCAGAGGATAAAGTTTAGTTGATGCTTACTTGCTCCATCTATTGGCTGGTTTAGGTATTTCAGGGTTTTAGTGTTTATCTTGTCATAATCTGACATTCTGTCCTGTTTACTGTGTTTCTTTATTCTTCTCCTCTTCCTCTGGAGCTCCTTGTTTTTCCTCTCTCCTCTGACCTTCAGGCCTCTAATCAGGACTCATCCAATCAGGGCGCAGCGCCGCTGATGACTCAGGTTTGACCTCAGCTCAGGTGAAACAACGCGGAGGATCACCAGATAAATATTCATATGTTTGAAACGAGCTGCTCTGTTTGATTGGCGGGAAGCTGGAAGTCGAGTTTAAACTCC